AAACTTCTAGAAGGCAGGCAAAAGTAGCTGTCGTCTGTCAACTGCTATCGTGATACCGTGATTCATTATCACTGTCATACCAGTCGGTAGCTGCGAATGATCAGGATTGGATCCTGATGATATGCAAATGGCGCATTTCAGCCTGCACTCCATCATGTCTCACACATGGCATCGGCTGGTGGTGCCATTCCAGGCGAGTTGGCTCGAGTTGATTCTGAAGTCACAGGCCAAGTCGGTCAAGTCGTGTTGAGGTTGAGTTTTATCACCTAGGCTTGGCCGATGAAGCTTAGCCTGATCTTGGACGACACACTGTCCCGTGACGAGAAGCTTGCGGTTGCGACTGAGTTCTGCCAAGCTAGCACATGCTGTTTGGATAAACATTTCTCGCAGAAGCTTCGGGCTTTCATGCAGGCCAGACGTACAGCTCTTGTACTTTTCCGTGCCGCCTGCCGCCTACCACAGCTTCATTGCTTCGAATGATTGCTCAGTGCAGGCGAACCAACATGGACCCCGCGATCTCCTGCCTGGTGGGCCACTGTACGGTCTGGCACGAGCCCTGGAGCTAGCTTTCGAAAAGCCAATGTCATGCTCTTGTTACTTTCTGAGTCTCACTGTCTCGGTCTGAGTCTGAGAGTCTGATTCTCAGTCCGTCTTTATCAGAGTCTCTGCCTACTATAATCACTATAATCTGCTGAGACTGCAGACAATCTACAATACAGTTTGGGGCCGGGACTGCAGACAATCTACAATACAGTGGACTCAAGACTCAAGACTCCATATGAGCTGCAGGTGAAAACCGCAAGTATGAGAAAACTCATCAATGCGGAGATCGAGACCAACTTCGCCCGGGCTGCATCGCAACGTGCGTGACTTGGCAAAGGATGGTGGATTGTCAGTGTGTAGTGTAGTGTGTGTCCAGAGTGCAGTGCAGCAACCAAATCACTTCGTTTCCAAGTTCCTGACACTTGGCACACTGGTAACTGGCAGCTACTGCTCTTTAGTGTCATTGTTTCGCTTGCTGGCTTAAGGTCCACCCGTGGACGTGGACAAGGTATTGCCGGGATGGCAACTTGTGTGCAATGTGGCGATGTGTCGGGTGCTGTAGGGTAGTATAGCAGTAGCCGTGTTAACGGTGCGTTTCGAGTTTCGACTGTTGGCTTCGACTTCAACTGTAAGTTCATTCATTCATCCATTCTTAAAAATAAGAAAGCTCTTAGCTAGCCAAGGTGGCGAAGTTCATCTTGTCTGAAATCCAGAAGCAACATCAGCGGTTTTCTTTGGGCAGTGCGTCGGCAGCCTTGGCAGACCGTGCATCCGGGTCCAGTGCGGCAGGAGCGTTCACGAACGCAAGCCTTATCAGCCACGTCGTCGCGTATTATAACAGCTGTGCCGTAACCATCAGTATACAAGTCTAGTCGTCAGGAGTGGCAATCCCAGATGATGAGCCTCCTCCCAAGATGTACAACGGGTTCACGCTGTACATGGCGAACTGCTTGCAGAACAAGGCACCGAGACACCGAGACACAAACACAACCAGTACAAGTTTCCAGCCAGTTGGAAGGGTTCCTGTTTGCATGAAATCAGGTGACAAAGCCAAGCGAAACTGCAGAACAAGCGCGGAAGCGCGTGTGGCACGATGCAGTCACACGCTGGAGGAACACACCCGGCTTGAAGGAGGTCTGCAGTGGTTGCGTGATCATTTGCGGGGATTACATGTGTGCTGTGTGCCTCTAACACATGCAAAGTGAGAATGAAGATTTTTGTGAGGAGATGCGTCAGCGTGCGCAGATTGTGAATCAGACCGAGCGGGAGCATCAGAGTGCAATGTTGGCCGCTCGTGCCAACGATGCTACTGAGCTGGTTCCGAATGCTGATGAGCCGTGTGAGCGGCCACACAACGTTAAAGCATTCGATCTTGCCGGGCTGTCAGACACGAACTTCGCTATAAGTGAGGAGTCACTGAAGGGGGCCCGAAAGGCATACCGTGGCAATTGGATCCAAGACAAGCACCGCGAATTTTGTGCGGCGTATGGCTCCCTGACTGTTCGCGCAGGCCAGGGTACTGAGCAGGAGGATGACGGTCCAGTGCCAGAATCTGCGTGTCAGTTCCTGTATTGTCCGGGAGTGTGTAGACAATCTGTTGCAGCTATTGGAGGACAGTACGACACGTTTCAGGCGGAGTGCAACGCTTTGCTCAGGCGTCTGAGATCTATCAGACGGGAAAAGGGATACTTGCCGTTGCACGGCGTTCTGATGGTGATGGACAACCAACACAAGACGATTCTGCAAGTCCACCTGCTCACTCAGATTTCCTTTTCTCCTTTTGACTTTTCAGCGTTGCAGATGAGGCTTCCACCGAACGGTTCATTACCAATGTCGGTGGACACTGACATTTCCGGTGTTGGTCAGAGTGTGAGTGTAGTTTTGCGTAACAAGGCCAAGCTTTTGTATGAGCTCGCCTCGATGCCGGGATGTGTCCTGGCCACCACAAACTACAAAGCTGTGTCTTTGCGAACCATCTTACTCGATGGTGATGTGGAAATGTTGTCTGATATACGTGCGGGTGGGAGCGGTGGTGCGAGTGGCCGTGGCCGCATGGGGTGTGACTCGGACAGTGACAGGGATGAATCGATCATTGATCAACTTCAAGGGATGTTGAAGCGTGCAACCCGTGGACAAGTAGCCCCGAAACAACAGCCTCAGAAGAGGAAACGTGCCAACGTACCCTCCAGCCACACTGTGCGTAAGAAGCCTCGAAGATCGACTGCATATGACGCAGCAGGCCAACCGATTCATGATCTGGCCAGCCAGGTAGACCGAGAGATCGAGGCAACGTGGATTGATGCAGCCATCGGAGAAGCTGGCGACATGCCAACTGCGGCTGTTGCACATGAGCCTGCTTCGTCATCAAGGGCTGCTCCTGCTCCACAACAGGTATCGGGGCAGGAATCATCGCAAACAGTAGCAGCTGACCAGCGTCGTAAGCCGTGGAAGGATGAGAAAGGTTACTGTTTTGCTATGGTACGCTCTGATTCTGGTGATGTTCGACACAAGCATTTGGGTGGCTTCGCCTGCATTAGCGCAACCCGATATCATGTGCAGTCACAGACATTGTTCCAGCGCTGTGTGTGCCAGGTGACAGTGACGGTGATAGCTCAATCACATGTCGCGTTCAACATATGAGGTCGCATCACTGAAGTGCGACCGGGCACTACAACACATGCTGTGAGTATCCGGTGCAGCGTCTCAGAATAATTTCAGACATTGAGAATGAGAAGTGTGCTAATGGGCTGTGTGAGCAAATCATAAGCGTCTGGTTTGTGATGCGTTGTCATATGCGATGCTATCTTCAATCTTCGTCAGGTCTTCATTCGAAATGTTCCCAGTTGGTTTCTGTGAGCAAGCTTCCGAATGACTGCGAACCTGCTATTCTAGCGTGGCTGGAAGCTGGTATGAAGATTCCTGACCGTTCCCAAGCTGCAGAGCACAAGGAGCTGTGACTCGTCCAGCAGATAACGTTGCACGCTGCTGCTGCGGCGTGGTTGGTTGCGCTGTTCTAGCTTTGTAGCTGCAGTGTGTGCAGCTCAGCGAGTACGATGTCAGGTTCAAGCGTTTCCTATCGCCAGCATCCTCCTGATGGGATGAGGCGATGCCATGTCGCATTGCAATTTGAATTTGAAGCCACGGGCCACTGGGCTTTCTGAGCCGCTGCGGATTTGCTC